GCGCAAGGGGCCGAAGCGGCGCAGGGGGCCGAAGCGGCGCGAAGGGTCGAAGTGGCAGAATGCCACGGCCGTGTTTACTGCACGCAGCCAGCTTGTTCCCAGTAGCATTTGGCTCACACAGGATCATTCCTGAGCAGATCCTATAGAGCTTAAAGGGCGAGGCAGCGGCACACAAGCACGAACACTCACACACCATAAATTTTACATGTTCTTATCCTGCTTAGGTTCACAGTGAGACTTGGATCCTATTGCAGGGAGAGCACCTTGCATGTTTTGGCACAAACAAAGCATAGTTTTGAATTTTTAATTATCACAGTTGTAGTCTTTCTGTACGTAGGGATTTTATTGAGGACTACAGCCAGAATCCTGGATGGTTTGTTATTTTTCTCCTGTGACAGTTTGCAGGACTTGCTCACTCTGGTTACCGTTAACCTGTCTGCCAGCTGACCTGCATGCCGGCAGGACTGGCTCACTCTGGTCACCGTTAACCTGTCTGCCAGCTGACCTGCATGCCGGCAGGACTGGCTCACTCTGGTCACCGTTAACCTGTCTGCCAGCTGACCTGCATGCTGTTCTCCCCTCCCACCCAGTTCTACCTGCAGGCTCGGTTGTCAGGGTCCGGGGCCCGCCTGCTTAGACCCTTGTTGCAGCTCCTGCTGGTGCTGCTGGCCCTGTACACTGGCCTGAGCCGCATTTCGGACTATCGGCACCACCCCGGCGATGTGCTTACCGGCTTCCTGCAGGGGGCGCTCACGGCCTGCTGGGTGGTATGTGTCACATGCAGTCATGCTTCTTTAACCTCATGGCTGAGGTGTCCTCACACTGATCACGCTTTACATATAAAGCGTGAACTGACTGGTTATTTCTACCTGACTATTTCCATGTACATTTCCAGCAGTTATATCACTTACTTTATGTTATCGCTTCCGTCCAGCCACTTTGTTGCCCTCCTGTGTCCCGCAGGCCTTCTACATCTCCTCCATGTTTAAGAGCTCGCAGCCGGGCCTGTCGCCCACCAGTGTGTCCCTGGACGTCTCCCCAAGCAGCCAACAGACGGTGTGCTAGCATGGAGAGAGGAGGGGGGGCGGGGGCGGGGGCATGGGGGTCCAGGGGCAGAGGCCCCTGACTGAGACTGCTACTCAGCACATGTAGAGCCGTTGGGTGGTGGTGGCTTGGGGGGGCGGCTACGCCTTGGCTGCAAAGCCTCACTGCATCCGACTCTCCTGTGCACAGTTATAAGCAAATGTATATTCAGCATCTTAAAGGCGTTATTTTTATGTTTTGAACATAAAAGCATTTAAAAGTATTTTTGAGAAGACGGTCTAGCTGCTGCTGCTAATCATGAGTGTAAATGTTCAACTAAAGCTGAGCTGCCTTTTCTTTGGTTTTGTGTGTGTGTGTGTGTGCATCCATGTGTGGGTGTGTACGTATGTGTGTTTGTGCATATGTGTGTGTGTGCATAGATGTATGTGTATGTGTAAGCGTGCTTATGTGTATGTGTGTGTGCATATGTATCTGTGTGTATGCATGTGCATATGTGTATGTGTATGCATGTGTGTACGTGTGCGTATGTGTGTGCATATGTGCCTGTGTATGTGTGTGTGCATGTGCATATGTGTATGTGTGTGCATATGGTCCTGTGTATGTGTGTGTTTGTGGGTGTGCCTGTGTGATCATATAATTATCACATGTTTGGGCATGTATGTGTGCCTGTGTGCTGCACCATGCTGGTATCCCACAGAGGGTTTTTCTCAGCACC